TAGATAACTAGCGGGATCTGTCCTTGATGACGCACCGTAGGAAACGAACAGTTAGTGAGTAGCTTGTGAACTGAGGCGGCCAGGGTTCAGGGTTTGGGTGGATTCCTGTTTGGTGCGATTGTTCGCTTTCCTTGGCCGTGGGGCGAGTGATTCAAATACTTTGTACTCTGTAAGTTGTAAACGTTGTGCTATCGATAGAGACTACAGCGCACATCCGCCACTGAGGCATCCTGCACACAAGCGCGTTTGAAGGCGATCTTATCCGCCACGCTCAAGCAATATCTTGCCACACATCTGTTGGCAGCCTGCGGTACACTCAACTACATCGCACACCTCGCTAATACACACACACCTTTTGCTAACACCTTGCTACACACACACACACCTGGCTAACAATCACACCCACCTTGCTAATACACACACACACCTTGATTTCCAAAGGAGGACCAGACGTTCCCGATAGTTTGGTCAAACAAATAGCCGCAGACAACGACGGCTTCTCGGGCGCTGATCTCGAGGCCGTTGCACGGGAAACCGCCATGGACTGTCTGCGCAGCAACATCGATGCAGAGAGTATATCGCACGTTCATCTACGCAGAGCAATAGCTCAAATGGGCTGCCCACCCGACCGCCCCACACAGCGGTGCTAGGGCCGACTGATACGACGCACGACATGCCTTACCGTCTGGTGGTTATTAGTAAAGGGTTAGTATATACTGTCCTATCGTATGATAGAGACTCTCTACTCTGTTTACGATTGGTTTATGGGTGGTCTATCGCTCCGTGGTCTCATCCCTCCGTCGCAGAAGAGTCGTGCCGAATCCTACATTCCGTCTCGATGCGACCGTGGCCAAGCGTTTACAGAGCTCGGTTGCCGCGTAGTCTGCTGTGCGTGCTGCTGAGCATGTGCACACACGAGCGTGATATACAGCCTGGCTCCCATCACGTACTGCATCGTCTACCACGCCTGTACCTGCTCCCGATGATTAAAATGGCGTGTACTCCTCGCGTGCCTCCGTCGAGGTTGATCAATACGAGCCGTCTAATTCTTCACGACCCATATTTGTATTCTGTAAATGCAAGATAGTTTGGCTAGTCTTGTGCTTCACCGGATTTCTGCCCGGTCGGTATTTCGCAGTGCGGGCTCTTAAGTGTACTCGAGCGTTCTATACGTACCCTCTTATTTAAATACCTCGGCGGTCCTTTGTGTGGGCCGTAGTTGTGGGTGGTATGCTGGTTACTGACTTAATATTTACTGTGCATTGTGTGATGTGTAACTTTCAGCATCGCCATTATTTTTATTAGTTTACACTCATAGCCTTCTGAACTAAAAAACATTCAGAAGGATATGCATTTGTCATTTACACTTTACTGTTTAGTGTTCACAGCGGTCTTTTCATAGCCGTCAGAAATCACACCTCAAGTCTTTTTGTTTTGATTTAAAACAATAAAAACAAAAAACAAAAATTAAAATTAAAAAGTCGTTGTTATCAATTGACTATGAATCAAAATCGTAAACAAAACGTACGTGTTTATCTGCAATTAAGTTTTGATTGGCACAGACAGAGGCTTCTATCTGGACTATCTAGTACGTCCAATCGGCAGCATCAGCTCCCTGCTGCCTTATCAAATGGGGATCAAAGTCAGCCACGACTTTGAACTGCAACCGCGGACGAAGGCTTCTATCTGGACTATCTAGCACGTCCAATCGACAGCACCTATACCCTGCTGCTTATCAAATGGGGATCGAAGTCAGCCACGACTTTGAACTGCAACCACATACAAAGGCTTCTATCTGGACCATCTAGCACGTCCAATCGACAGCACCTATACCCAGCTGCTTATCAAATGGGGATCGAAGTCAGCCACGACTTTGGACCGCTGTATCAACAATAGATTCAGACTAATAACATCGTCTATTGGCAGTGTCTTCTACCTGTTGCCTAGTCGAATGGAGATCAAAGTCAGCCACGACTTCGAACTGCTGCAATACTCAGAAGCAGGGAAACCCATTGTCTGATGATTTTGCGGGGATAGCAAGACTAGGCAACTAAGGATTTTCGAAGATGTTACATCTTTTAAGAGTTTCATTTGAAAGTCTACATGCGAACAAAAAGAGCTTAGTACGATTATCAAAGCACTATATATCCCATTGCGCATATAAAATGCCCCACTACGATTTCATCCTTGCCTTGTGAACCAATACAATAGTTATCGTAAACTATAATTACCTGTGTGTACATGAGCCAATCACTGATACCGTGACTCATGCGCATAGCCTGAACAACACAAAAGTTTTATGCGAGTTGTATTCGTGGTTCTTGATGTACTTGCTGCACATTGCGTTCGTATTGAGGTTGATCGTCAGACACGCAAGTTTGGAGTTCCGATTCGCGTTCCTCCAAAAGGACAATTACCTTATAAGCACAGCGCACTCAACTCGCATGCAGATTTGAGTCTATTTTTTTTTGGTTTGCTTTGTTTTGTTATTTGTAAAAAACAAACAACAATAATAAAAAACCCATAGCCTTCTAAATTATACAAGGAGGCTATGAAAAAACGTCCTATTGGCCGACATACTGTGAAGGCATAAATGCGGACACACCAGACTTACCAACTAAAGTGCAAAGCCTTTATTCGGTCTTTATACATAGTCTTCTAATTAGACACTTAAATTTATATCATGTGTTGTTCGAGGATACTCATTCTCTTGACAGTGGCGAAATCATATTTTTAAATAAGATGCACGACGTGTTTTTATAGCCTCCTAAAATAGACGCATAATGCATCGCCTTCTCTAATAATATAGAAGACTAAACATATGTTACGTTTGATCGTGTAATCTCGTAGGTCGTGAGGCTCGGTTGATGCCCGTGGTGTGTTGCGATCAGTGTTGGCAACTGGGTTCAAAAATATATCACTTCAAAGGTCGTATTACGGGCGTGCAGTGATAACCGCGAGTTTTGATTAAAATATAAACCTGAGTGTCTTGTTTCAGACCTGTCTCAAGTACAATTAAACTTTCTGCGTATATATATATATATATATATCTTCTATCTATCTATCTATCTATCTATATCTGTTTCTATATCTATTTCTATATCTAAATCTATATCTATATCTATATCTATATCTATATCTATATCTATATCTATATCTATATCTATATCTATATCTATATCTATATCTATATCTATATCTATATCTATATCTATATATATCTATATCTATATCTATATCTATATATATCTATATCTATATCTATATCTATACTATATATATATATACTATATCTATAT